TGTTATTTTTTTTTTGGTTTTTCTTCCGTGGAAGTCAAAATAATAAAAAAAATGTTTCCGAACATACAAAGGCAACAGAAACTGATTCTGGAAAAATCAAGGGTCTCAAAAATCAATAGACAAATTAAAAAGCCAAGAACACATCGACAGTTTCTCTTCTTATAATTAAATTCTTTTTTTTTTTCTCTAACCCTTGGATATACATGAAATGCGTTCAATAATAAGCATCAAGTGAAGTAACGCTGATAAATGATGATTCTTAAAAAAAAATATATCGATTTCTTAGGAAAAGTAAGCAAGTCAAGCGGCAAAATTCTCACGTCAAGACTAAATCCCGGGATTCCAAAGATAATAATCTCTTGTGCATTTGAATTAAGCCAACATTTAAATTTGACTAGAACGAATAAAAAACTCAAATATTTTTGAAAGATATATAATTTTGTGAAAGAATACTATTAGATTAGAGGCGACTGTGTTTTTTTTCCTCGTTTTTTCTTTAGAACCTAGTAAATCTTAAGGCCGACTTCGTGTCACAAACCACACGTAGAAATAGGTGAAAGAAAACCTAGTTGACCGAAGCTTATTAAAAAGTCTTTCCATGACTAAGTTGAACATTTGACTTGCTTATTAGTGATATTTAGTCTTAGTCTTCTTTTCTTTTAAATGTGGAATCTTATCACATTTGTGAGCTGGATTATTGTATACAGTACTCAACAAACCAAGCAAACCAAACTTGCTGCGGTCTCCATTTCATGTCCTCTTTTTTTTTTTTTTTTTGAATACAAGGAGGTTCTGGAATTCTCATAGTTATGTCTTTTTTCCATCATCTCGTGTCTCGTTTTCTTCCATTATGGCTTTTAATTTTCCTCATCTTCTTATCACTCGGGAATTCTCAAAAGGAAGCTTTACAAGTAAAAGTGGGGATTGTTCTTGGCAGTAATGTGACATTCGCAGATTTAAGCTTGCGAGCTATCGAAATGTCTCTGTCGGAATTCTATAATACTCATAATGGCTTCAAGACAAGGATTGTCCTCAACATCCGCGACTCTAAACAAACTGTTGTTGGTGCTGCCGCTTCAGGTACTCGATCTTGCGTACATTAAATTTTATTACAATTTGTTGTTGATGCTATTTTTAAATATGATATTTATAATTGTATATATGCATTGAAAACCTTACTTTTTAGCAAATGAACAATCCTAATGTTATGGAAACACTTGTTCTTTTTTTTAAATATAGTCAACCATGTCTAGGTTTTTTATAACTATAAATATCTTTGTCTTTCGAAGTGAAGATTGTTCAAAAAAGAAAAGCAATCTCTTTGAATCATAAAGCAAATCTATATTCGTTTCGTGAAATACAAGAAAGTAAACATAAAATTTAAATATGAAATTAGAAATAAAATATAGCTCTAAAATGTTTTAGTCAAAATAACAAATCCTCTTTGATAGATGTTATACAATAAATTATTAGTAAAAGCAAATTGGACTGGATTATGGATCAAATCTCAAATCCATATAATTTGTCCACTCCAATACTGTATGATACTTCTATTTACATTTTTTTGTTTAATTCAAATCAACGATCACCAACAAAACAATGTGGAAATTGGAAACGTTGACCGAAATGGAACGCAATTTCAAACTTTCAGTTTTGCGCTGTCTTCCTACTTACACTAACTAAACTTTAATTTAAAACTTAAAACCACAAAAATATTTAACACTGAGAACTTTGTAGCTTTATACTTGATAAAGAAGAGGGAAGTGGTGGCCATTATTGGACCAGGGAATTCAATGCAAGCTCCATTTCTAATCAACCTCGGAAACCAAACTAAAGTTCCAATCATTTCATTCTCTGCAACAAGTCCTCTTCTTGATTCTCTCCGTAGTCCGTATTTCATCAGAGCCACACACGACGATTCGTCTCAAGTCCAAGCCATTAGCGCCATCATAGAGTCGTTTAGATGGAGAGAAGTTGTGCCTATTTATGTGGACAATGAGTTCGGAGAAGGTATTCTTCCTTACTTAGTTGATGCTTTTCAAGAGATCAACGTTCACATCCGATACCGAAGTTCCATATCAGTACATTCCTCTGATGATCAAATCAAGAAAGAGCTTTACAAACTTATGACCATGCCCACTAGGGTTTTTATCGTGCACATGCTGCCTGATCTCGGATCAAGGCTCTTTTCGATAGCAAAAGAGATTGGTATGATGAGCAAAGGATATGTATGGATCGTCACAAATGGTATAGCTGATCTCATGAGTGTAATGGGGGAACCAGGCTTGGAGAATATGCATGGTGTCTTGGGCGTCAAGACATATTTTGCAAGAACAAAAGAGCTAATGTATCTTGAAGCTCGTTGGCGAAAAAGATTCGGAGGAGAAGAGCTAAACAACTTTGCATGTTGGGCTTATGATGCTGCAACAGCACTTGCAATGTCAGTTGAGGAAATTAGGCACGTAAACATGAGTTTCAACACGACCCAAGAAAACACTTCAAGAGATGATATTGGAACTGATCTTGATGATCTCGGATTTGCTCTCTCTGGTCCCAAACTTCTTCAAGCGTTATCAACAGTCAGTTTCAAAGGCGTTTCCGGGAGATTTCAGCTGAAAAACGGAAATCTAGAGGCGACGACTTTCAAGATTATCAATATAGAGGAAAGCGGTGAAAGAACGGTTGGATTTTGGAAATCAAAAGTGGGATTAGTAGAGAGCCTAAGAGTGCATCAAGTGTCACACAGATCGCGTCGCCTTAGACCAATTATATGGCCAGGGGACACTATTTTTGTGCCTAAAGGTTGGGAATTCCCAACAAACGCAAAGAAGCTGCGAATAGCGGTTCCAAAGAAGGATGGTTTCAACAATTTTGTTGAGGTAACCAAGGATGAAAATGCTAATGTTCCAAGGGTCACTGGGTTTTGCATAGATGTTTTCAACACGGTAATGAGCCAAATGCCATATGCTGTCTCCTATGAGTACGTCCCCTTTGAGACTCCTGATGGAAAACCTAGTGGAAGTTACGATGAAATGGTTTATAATGTGTTTCTTGGGGTAAGTTACTCTGATCCCTAACCATTTGAGAAAACAATTCCTCTTTCTTTCTTTTTTTTTTCTTATATACATACATAATCATGAGACCTGTAAAAGTTTTTTTTTTTTGTTAGTTAAGGCGTCTACAATTGGGTGGAGAGCCAATATTGAGCTAAAATGTTAATATCTTTTTTTCAAATGATGTTGACAGGAGTTTGATGGAGCTGTAGGTGATACAACAATCTTGGCAAATCGGTCGCATTATGTCGATTTCGCGTTGCCATACTCAGAGACCGGAATTGTATTCGTTGTACCTGTCAAGGATGGGAAAGAAAAAGGAGAATGGGTCTTCTTAAAGCCTTTAACAAAGGAGCTATGGTTGATTACTGCTGCTTCTTTTCTCTACATTGGAATTATGGTTTGGATTTTTGAGTACCAAGCAGATGAGGAGTTCAGGGAACAGATGATAATTGATAAAATATCTAGTGTGTTCTACTTCTCGTTTTCGACTCTCTTTTTCGCACACAGTGAGTATTCTCTGTCACACACAACTTCAGCTACTAACCATTACCAATTTACTTGAAAATCTTTGAAACAACAAAACTGATACAAACATTTATTTATAGGGAGGCCATCAGAGAGCTTTTTCACAAGGGTTCTTGTTGTGGTTTGGTGCTTTGTGTTGTTAATTCTGACTCAGAGCTACACAGCAACATTGACATCTATGCTGACGGTTCAAGAGCTTCGACCAACAGTGAGACACATGGATGATCTAAGGAAGAGCGGAGTGAACATTGGATATCAAACTGGTTCGTTTACATTTGAAAGGCTGAAACAAATGCGTTTCGATGAATCGAGGTTAAAGACATATAATTCTCCTGAAGAAATGCGTGAACTTTTTCTTAAAAAGAGCAGCAATGGCGGGATTGATGCTGCATTCGATGAAGTCGCTTATATCAAACTTTTCATGGCTAAGTATTGCTCACAGTATTCCATAATCGAGCCTACCTTTAAGGCTGATGGCTTTGGCTTTGTAAGTAGAGCTGGTTACTTTTTTTTAGGTAGACTTTAAATAGTGGCAGCCGAAGAGGTTGGCACAGCCGCTTGTAGTCAAAACCGCTTTTAGCTAACATTCAAATGTTTTGGCCAGTGTGCACCAAAACTTGTGAACGATGAACTAAAAGCGGTTTTCCACACTGCTAACATTCAAAACTGATAATAAATCTCAATGATTTTTGTAGGCATTCCACTAGGATCTCCATTGGTATCAGATATTTCAAGACAGATCTTGAACATAACAGAGGGAGATACCATGAAGGCTATAGAGAACAAGTGGTTCCTTGGAGAAAAACATTGTCTGGACTCGACTACATCAGATTCTCCAATCCAGCTCGATCATCACAGCTTTGAAGCTCTATTTCTGATCGTCTTTGTTGTTTCTATCATTCTACTCTTACTCATGTTGGCTTCAAGAAGATACCAAGAGAGACAACGCAATGCTTCACTCAATCTACCAAATGATCAAGCCACTGCAGCTCAAGAAGAAAGCAATGAAGAAGGTAATTTTGGAGATCATATTGTGGAAGTCGACACAGCTTTGCTCCGCCGTAAGAAACTGACCTCAAAGACTATACCCATTAGAAGAGTTGCCCAACTGTCAAGGCTAAAGTCAGCATAGTCAAACCTAACCTCAAAATTTCTTCCACACTATTTAGATTGCATAATCATATTTCAGGTTTCATTTTCTCAAGTGTGTTTAAAGGTAGATACAATAGCAAACAGAAAAGTTACATCTAAAACGATATACTGATGGAAACTTAGCTCTTACCTACTATTACATGAAATTTGTTCATTGGTCAGCATAAAAGATGGTATTCACGTTCAGGATTCTTATCAACATTCAATGATATTATTTGCTTTTGCATGCATCAATATAGATCAATTCAGTAAGGAACATTTAAACAATGATCAAGCCAAAGACTAAATCATGAAATCTTAATATTTTAAACATAACCATCATCACTAGTACAAAAAACAGGAGAGCTCTTAACTTTGCGAATTGGAGAGTGGCTCAATCTCATTCTTAAAAGAGTTACAAAACGGTCTAAATATCTGGGAAAACTTGTCCTCATAGAAAGACTAAAATAGAAGCAACAAACAGAGTGAGAGATAGTTGTGGACCTCCATGACCCCTTTGAACACCTACAAGGTTGAAATCTGAAGAGGTTCTTTCCTGAGAGATGATGCTACTTGTTTAAGACGGCACTGAACAAAGAATCAGAAGAAGAGTTAATATCAAAACAAGACAAAACCAAGCTTTTCACATTTGGTAAAGGGAATTAACACTTACTGTAAGTGGATGTATCAATCTGCTCAGGAAGCTCCTTTATATCGACCTCAAACCTCTCTTGTACCTGTCCAACATTTATAATTGCACTTTACTAAAATACCCAACTCAATATCAAGGGGAGTTTACCATGGACTTATTACGATTACCAAACACCATACCTGATTAAGAACCTCTGAATCTGAAGCAGATGCAACAAATGTGATTGCAAGACCCTTGGTTCCAAATCTACCAGCTCTCCCAACCTATACCATACACAGAGCAAAACGGTAAAGTTACCAGAGCCCTTTTAGTGAGATCAATGATCAATAATAAATTTCAGGATTCTACAAATAGGAATACTTACCCTGTGAAGATATGTATCAGCAGAATCTGGCATGTCATAGTTGATAACAATGTTGACACGCTCAATGTCAATGCCTCTTCCTACCAAGTCAGTCGCGACAAGGATCCTCTTGTGCCCTTCCTTGAAACTTTTGTATCGAGTCAACCTACATAACATATCATATTAGGCTTAAGAGTTGGACTCTCCATGCGAGCTTTAAGAACAGGTAGGGTTGTTCAGAAACATTAAACTTTTTAGAGAATGTACAGACCTCTCTTCTTGGGACATGCCAGAGTGGATGCATATTGAGGGGAAATTGCATTCCACCAGTAACTTGTTCAGCTCCGCAGCTCTGCTCACGCTCTTCACAAATATGACAACTTGATTGAAGTCCAAGGCATCAAGAAGGTCATTCAACTTGCGGTTTTTCTCCATCTCGCTCAGTTTGATGTAGTGCTGTTACAGAAGAAGAAAAAAGGTAAAGTATCAAACAATAACACATATATTTCCATTGAATAATAAGAAGACCTCACACCAGTTAAAAGTACCTGGACAAGTCCATGAAGAGTCAACTTGGCTTCATCATCAACATATATTTCCATTGGCTGAAAGGAACAGATATCAGAGTAAATAGTATTAGCAAGCTTTCCTCAGGAAATGATTTCCACTACAAAAGTGACGATGGATGGAGAACCCCTGATCTGAGATCCTCGTCCACCAGGTTCTCTTCAAAGATGAGAGTTTGCTATGTCTATATTGCTCTGAACATTAAGGCCCATACGAGCACGATGAAACCTTGGGAAAACACAGTACCCCGACCCAAAACCCACCCAGGACTGCTAGAATTGCAAAGAAATTGTAACTGAATAAGGTAATGATGAGAGAAGATCCTGTTGTGCAACGGTCACTGAACCACACCAAAGCTACAGAATCTCAACACTTACAGTTCTCGACCCCTACAAACTACCCAAAGCATTATTGGATTGAGACCCATCCAGAGATCAGTTGCAGCTTTTCCAGGGCAGAACCGCAGACGATGCTCAAATAATCCCATAGAAGGCTAAAAATAGTTGAAAACTAGAAGACTTGCAAAGCGAGAGAGAATTGGCCATGGAACATTACATCTTGCATAAATTTCTTGCAGACTGGGCGTATCTCTTTGCTGAGAGTTGCTGAGAACATCATTACTTGTTTGTCATGAGGAGTCATCTTGAAAATCTCCTGCACATCCCTTCGCATGTCTGGTAAAGAAAAGTTACAAGTGTTAAAACATAAAATTATTCAGGGATAGATGTAATAAGGATGTCAGAAATCCACATACCAAGTGACTCGAGCATTTTATCACACTCATCAAGAATAAAATGCCTCACATTCTTCAAAGAGAGATCTTTGTCCCTGGCCAGTGCAAGCACCCGACCAGGGGTACCAACAACAATGTGAGGACATTCATTCTTCAGCAAGTCTTTGTGAATTTTAATGTTGACTCCACCATAGAACACTGAAACCTTTGTATCAGGCAGATAGGTACTGAATCGCACAAACTCATTACAGATCTGCAAGTAATTTTCAGCATCATGGTATAATAATCATTAGAGAACTTGAGGACGGACAACAGGATTATAAGCCAAGAACCTAAGTGAAAAAGGACATACCTGGTAAGCTAGCTCTCTTGTATGGCACAAGACAAGTGCTGAAACCTGGCCAGGAGACGGTTCAATCTGTTGAAGAGTAGACAGGACAAACACAGCAGTCTTCCCCATACCAGACTTTGCTTGGCAGATAACATCCATGCCCAAGATAGCTTGAGGGATACATTCATGTTGCACTAGTAGAGAACCAAAGAAAATTGCACCGAAGATACCCTTTGTAAGTAGATGATAACCTCCGTATCTTTTAAATTGGTGGCTTTAGCACATGTTTAAGCTCACTCCAAATTTAGATTGAAATAGCGTTTATTACCTGGAAAAGGTAATCAGTGAAACGTTAATATACAAAGAATACAAAAATAATTATAACAGGAAAAAAAAAAAATTAACCTCAACACAAAACTTTTTTGGAGTTAATTAGGTGATACGCAAAGGACCAAGTTAAAGTATAAAATATCTTAAACCAATAGCATGGTGAAAGGCAAGGCAGAAAACTTAAAGGTCGTGTGAGTACTGAATTGTAATTAGTAATTACCTTCAGATGGATGTTCAAATCCTGAGTCAACAATTGCTCTGAGAAGCTCTGGCTTCAACAGGAAGTCTCTGAATCCAGAACTGTGTATTCCCACGTAACCTCTGGCACAAAGAAAAAGTACAAGATGAGAAACACACGAGTCTAAAATTGGGTGGGTTCCAGTAATTTTAGCATTGAAGAACTTAGTCAATTGTTATAGAGTTCAGCAACTAACTGAAGAACTTAGTCGATTGTTATCAAGTAGTAATCTAAGAAAACCCTAAATTTAAACATCCACTATCTCATGAAACAGATCGAGAAAAAATAAAACTCACTTTTTCACGGCTTCGCCGTTAACTTTGTTTCCAGAATCTGGAACCTTCTCGTCTTCTTCTTCATAGTCCAAGAGCTCCTCCTCGTAGGCTTCGTTGTCTCTAGCATCTCCCATACTTGGCAAATTCTACAAGCTGCAGAAAAATTTCGGGTAAGATTCCAAATAAAAAACATAAACCTAAGATTCAGTAAGAAAGCATCTTCAATTGGAACAATGGGATAGTTCTTCGAAGCAATAGAGTTCTCGCACTCGTAACAGTGTAAGCTCGATGAATTTGGAGCGAGAGTTTTACCTGAGATATGGAGCAGAGTTGGTTGGATCTCGAAATCGACTAGGGTTTCGAAATCTCTGATTGAAGAAAATTAAATACCAGCGCCGCGTAGGTGTCCGTAAATATATATACAGGGAGACTAGATAGGGTTGAGAATGGGCTTTACTTTAATAGGCCTAGTTTTTATGAATCGGCCTTGTGCGCCGATTATTGAACTCAAAGGAAGGACCGACAGAATTGTAGGCCCATTAATTAAAACAAAGCCCAATTTATGCTGAGTTCAACCCTATCTCTCACTACATATCTCTCTTTGCACGCACTCGGACGAAGCTCAGATATTTTTGTTTCTCTTGCAATTCAGAGATTTCGAAACCCTAATCCTATTTCGCGATCTAACCAGCTCTGCTCAGTTCTCAGGTATCTACTCGCTCTCAATCCAATAGATTCCTCTGTATATTAGCAAATTCATTGGATTTACACGCTTAGGGTTCGAGATTCACTATACGCTTTGTCCCCAAATTTTAGGGTTTTCGTTTTGCTTTGGATTGCGAACTTTATCTGAAATTTCTCTTGTGTTTATAAAACTTGTGAAGTATGGGAGATGCTAGAGACAACGAAGCCTATGAGGAGGAGCTTTTGGACTACGAGGAAGAGGACGAGAAGGTCCCAGATTCTGGAAGTAAAGTTAACGGCGAAGCCGTGAAAAAGTGAGTTTTTTTATTTGTCGATCTGTGTCATGAAGACACTGGATGTCTTGTTAGCAGTGAAGGTTTCATTAGTCGTTTGCCTTTGAGAGTACCAATTTCTTATTTATGTTAAATTCTGATGTTGTTCTTCTTTATTGTGACAGAGGGTACGTGGGAATACACAGTTCTGGATTCAGAGACTTCCTTTTGAAACCGGAGCTTCTCAGAGCTATTGTTGACTCAGGATTTGAACATCCATCTGAAGGCAAGTAGATTTCACTCTTCCTTTGTTTCTGAGCTTTCTTGCACCATAAATCTACACCAATTCTTCCTTTGCGTGTATTTCTTTTTCTTCTATGATTTCTTGGTCAGTCTACTGTTGGTTATTTATTATCTCTCGAAGTTTGAACAAAGATGTGTTGTCCGGATTATGTAACTAGAGTATTTTTTTGTCTTATGATTGATATATCCATTAACATTTCACTGATTCCCTTTTTCAGGTAATAAACGCTAATTTCGATCTATTGATTTGGAGTGAGCTTAACATGTGCTAAAGCCATCAATTTAAAAGATATGGTGGTTATCATCTACTTATAAAGGGTTTCTTCGGTGCAATTTTCTTTGGTTCTCCACCAGTGCAACATGAATGTATCCCTCAAGCTATCTTGGGCATGGATGTTATCTGCCAAGCAAAATCTGGTATGGGAAAGACTGCTGTGTTTGTGCTTTCGACTCTACAACAGATCGAGCCATCTCCTGGCCAGGTTTCTGCACTTGTCTTGTGTCATACAAGAGAGCTAGCTTACCAGGTATGACCTTCTTGTTTCACTCAGGTTCTTCGGCTCTTGTAGTTCTGTTGTCCGTCCTCAAGTTGTCTAATACTTATTTTGCTGAAAATTAATTGCAGATCTGCAATGAGTTCGTGCGATTCAGTACCTATCTGCCTGATACAAAGGTTTCGGTGTTCTATGGTGGAGTCAACATTAAAATTCACAAAGACTTGCTGAAGAATGAATGTCCTCACATTGTTGTTGGTACCCCTGGTCGGGTGCTTGCACTCGCCAGGGACAAAGATCTCTCTTTGAAGAATGTGAGGCATTTTATTCTTGACGAGTGTGATAAAATGCTCGAGTCACTTGGTATACCTGATTTCTGAATTCTGACATTCTATGTATAAGATATCCTTGAATAATTGTATCTTCTAACACTTTTAGCTTTTCTTTACCAGATATGCGGAGGGATGTGCAGGAGATTTTTAAGATGACTCCTCATGACAAGCAAGTAATGATGTTCTCAGCTACGCTCAGCAAAGAGATACGTCCAGTCTGCAAGAAATTTATGCAAGATGTAATGTCCTACAGCCAATACTATCTCGGTTTGCAAGTCCTGTAATCTTGAATTATTTTTAGCCTTCTCTGGGAGATCGTAGGTTTAGTTGAGCACCTTCTGTTTTGGAAAACCTGCCATTGAGCTTCGGATGCAGTGTCTCGATTTAATAATACCTTGGGTAGTTTATAGGGGGTTTTTGGAGTATTAAGAGATTCTGAATATCCAACTTAGCTAGTGGTTTAGTGAAGTCTTTGCTCAGTGGGATCTTCTATCATCGCGGAGTTTTTCCTTTCTATTTTTCTGCAATGCTTACCGTGCTGGGTGGGTTTTGAGTTGGGCGTAGTGAGGCCTCGGGGTTTCTTCCTACTCAAATTTATTGGCCTTAATGTTCGGAGCAATATTGATGTTTCATTGCAAAACTCACATCTTTGAAGAGGAAACCTGATGGACGAGGATCTCAGTTCAGGGGTTCTTCATCCGTCCTCATTTTTGTTGTGGAAATCAATGCCTGAGGAAGACTTGCTAATACCATTTACTCTGATATCTGTTCCTTTCAGCCAATGGAAATATATGTTGATGATGAAGCCAAGTTGACTCTTCATGGACTTGTCCAGGTACTTTAACTGTTGTTAGGTCTTCTTCTTATTCAATGGAAATATATGTTGTTGTTTGATACTTCAATGGAAATATAAGTGGGCTTTTTCTGTCCAACTGTAACAGCACTACATCAAACTGAACGAGATGGAGAAAAACCGCAAGTTGAATGACCTTCTGGATGCATTGGACTTCAATCAAGTTGTCATATTTGTGAAGAGCGTGAGCAGAGCTGCGGAGCTGAACAAGTTGCTGGTGGAATGCAATTTTCCCTCAATATGTATCCACTCTGGCATGTCTCAAGAAGAGAGGTATGCACATTATCTTTAAATTCAACTCATTCTGAACCATCCCTAATTGTGAAAGCCCTCATGGAGACCAACTCGTAAGCCTAATATGACATGATATGTAGATTGACTCGCTACAAGAGTTTCAAGGAAGGGCACAAGAGAATACTCGTGGCGACTGATTTGGTAGGAAGAGGCATTGACATTGAGCGTGTCAACATTGTTATCAACTATGACATGCCGGATTCTGCAGATACATATCTTCACAGGGTAAGTATTCGTATTTAGAGAATCCTGAAATTTATTATTGATCATTGTTCTCACCGACAGAGCTCTTGTAACGTTACTGTTTTGAACTTTTTATGGTATAGGTTGGTAGAGCTGGTAGATTTGGAACAAAGGGTCTAGCAATCACATTTGTTGCATCAGCCTCAGATTCTACTGTTCTTAATCAGGTTTGGAGTTTGATCGTCTTCATAAGTCTATTTATCCTCTACTTAATATTGAGTTGGGTATTTTAGTAAACAAGCAATTTTAATGTGGACAGGTACAAGAGAGGTTTGAGGTTGATATAAAGGAACTTCCTGAGCAGATTGACACATCTACTTACAGTAAGTTGAATCCTTTTACCAATAAGCTTGGTTCTGTCTGGTTTAGACATTAAAGTTGTTTCTTCTTCTTTATGCAGTGCCGTCTTAAAGTAGTCTTCGTCTCTCAGGAGCACCTCTTCATACACGACCTTGTTGGTGTTCGAAGGGGTCACATGGAGGTTCTCCACTATCCTTGCTCCGATTGTTGCTGTTTTAGTCTTTTACGAGGACAAATTTGTTTTCTATATGTTAAGACAGTCTGTGTACTAAACAGAAAGAGATCTGAGTTAACTCTCCAAATCGCACTGTTAAAATCTGTCCTGTTTTTTGTACAAGAGATGATTATGTTTTAAGACCTCAAGATTTAGAGAGCAAGTTAGTAAGTCCTCTGAGTTGATTATGTTTTTATTCATTTTAGTAGATGGATTCATCTTCACTTGACTGTCATTAGGCTTTCGATATATAATCATCAACTTTCAAAGTGGCTATCATCAAGTTTCGATAAATTAATCATGAGTGTTTAAAATCAAATTAGAAAAACATATTTGTTCAAGAATTGACAGATTTTGACTTGTTTTGTACTTTATTTGTCGCCTTTCTAGAAGTTGAATGTCGAATCTACAAAAGTTTCTGGATTCATTCAAAGAAAATTAAGTTTCAGAAATCTAATTCCAAAAATGAAGCCCCTTTGTTATGACATTTTGATTTCAAATGTGGGAAGAAAATTGTTATTCCTTCAAACGAACTGGATATTTTTCACAAGCCGATAATAAAATCAAACAAAAGGAATAAAACCGATACAAAAAAATACATATATTAATAGAATACTTAAATCCAACAATCTTTTATATCAATCAATACAACAAGCATGTATACTTTCATCAAAAAAAAAAAAATTACAAATCTGTATATATTACATTGTTTTACATGTATTTTAGACAATTTTCTTATAATCGATAAATAAAATCCATCACATTATAAACTTTAAAAAATATTAAAATCCGGAAAATAATGAAAACCATTTACTCCTTTTCTTAGATACTTCCAACAAGTCAAACTCAAAGTCAACTCCAGTTCAGCAATTCCTCGATCATCTCCATAGCTAATTGATCCTCATCACTAATAGCTTCTTGTTCTTCTTCTTTCTCGACGTTTTGTTTCTTCATTGTAGTCAACCCTAAGTCAACCGCACTTTCGTTGACTATGTTCCCAAGTTCGAGACGCATTACCCAAGTCGGACTTGTTTTCGACCCGGCTCGTTTCTGCCAAACTCCAATGTGGGAACTATCGGTATCAAGACGAAGACACGTCAGCGACGGCGTTAGGTCTTTGCAGCTCTTCCTTAACTTAGCGTTCAAGAGCTCAGATAACGACTTTGGTGACATTAACGGAGAGTTAACGTCTTTAACGTGATCGGAGCCTTCCTCTGATTTCACGACAGGGAAATTGGTCTTAGCGTTTTGACCGTTCATTAGAAGAGCCGCTTGGTCGTAAGCTCTTGCAGCCGCTTCTGCCGTTTCAAATGTTCCAAGCCACACTCTTCTCTTCCTGATTAATTTCTCACACACACATGTAAATACACTACATTCACATCACTCATAAAATAAATATATATTTTAACGTTTTTGAGACGAATTCAAGTACACATTTTCAATTATGTTTTGATCATATAAGATTCAAGTTAGATATAAATTTTTAAAAAAACAGATTTTAGTTTTTATATTAGTTATAAAAACTAAGTAAACATTTGAGATTATGTTTTCATAATTGTATGTCTTGAGCCCAAATCCAAACGAACCTTATAAATTACCACATTTACAATAATCGAAGAAATCAAGTAGATGAAACTCAATCTATAACTTAACTTTGATAAGCATGGTTGATTTTGATTCCTTTTAATAATTTTGTAGATTGTTAAGCAATAGCAATAGGAGAACGTTTGTTACCATTTTGTAATATACAAATAAATTTTGATGAAATATACTAAAGATTGTAGCTTCATATGAAAAAAAGCAACTACGACAATATATAATATTTAAACCTAAGCAGGAAAAAGTAAACAATGGAGATCATATTTGTATATAGAGAGCATATACTTACAATAGAGGATGACGAATCTCAGAGACCCAAGAACCCCATTGTCGCTGGCGAACACCTCGGAACTTCCTCGAATGTCCCATTTTTTTATTTTCCTTATAACTTTATATTTGCTGATTCCAAATTAAGTATTTTCAGTTTCTCTCTTCTTAGCATACACGAACTCGGACAAGCAGAAGAGAGGTAGATAGAAACTGACTAGTCTCTGATCTTAATGTGGTTCGTCTCCAGCTAACTATTTATATAGAGTTTTTATTTGAAGTTTCTCTTTGTTAACCAACCCACGTTGGCCCAGTTGGTAAAGGGCTCACAGCTGTGAGTCCCCCTCCTGGATTCGATTCGGGTTGGCCACCTAGCCGCTCTCTTAACGATGGGATAAAGCATACCCGGATGCAAGGTCTCGTGGATTAGTCTTTGGGCCTACAAAGCTTTTGGAATCCCACGGTTATCAAAAAAAAAAAAAAAAAAATTCTCTTTGTTTGCAAATTGACCTTTCTTCGATGATCTAATAAATTCGATTCACGATGGTAAATAAGATATTTGAGCCCACTACTTTGTCTCTCAAACCTTCGTGGTGGACGTAACATCAATATATATATATATATATATATATATATATATATATATAGATATATATCTATATTTATTCTTTATTTATGAATACAACTTCCTTACTTTAATAGAATGAATCTAGTGAAGACACGACTTGTACCTTCGTTTCTAACGTAACTTTCATGCCATATAGGGACTCTTTTTTTGTTTTTACCCCCGACCCATATAGGGATCTTGCCTGAGGTTTATAATACCCACACACAAATGAAAACTATCCATATATATAGTCTATCATAGCTTTATTTATTATATAACTACTTAATATATCATACCTTTATTTATCAAAAAATCAATTTGTATTTATAAACTACTTGTTAAGAAAAACTGTTTTTACTGTTTTTAAATATGGTAGTTCATGTGGAAAAACTTAACAAGAATCTGCGAGATTTTGTGCTAACATGAAACTGAAAATCTGTTTTCTGAGTTTCACACGTTTTGAATTAATTTCATGTTTGAGTTCAAATGCATCTAGTAACCAAAGCTATACGATATGTATATATTCGGATTCAAAAAAAGAGAGATCTCCATTAACGGTCTCATGACTCTCATCTTAACTATATAGTTATAATCTGAGTCAACCTACTCAAACTAGCAATCAGTTTTTCATTTCACCAAACAGATTTATAACCCAATTCTGTACTTCAAACTTTGGGTGTCCGTAGACGGAACCTAGCTTTAAGGCCACGTCGTCACTTCAGCTCAAATTCTTGGTGCACCATTGTTTATCTTCCAGTTTAATTCAGTTTACATTTTCGAATTTTAAATCTATTATATATCTAAAAACAAAAACCAAAGAAATGTCGGTAGGTCGGGTGGTGAAAGGGCGTAGATATTTCAACGTATAATAGACCAATAACTTTTAAAACTTTATGCTAAAATAAATGTATTCACAACATTTGCAATAATGTTTTTCAGTCCTAAATTGTCAGACTATAATTGAAGTCATGAGTAAGGTGGCGCTATGGGATGGATAGTTATCATTTCATTCGTTTTTTTCTTTTCTTTTTTGGCAGAAGACTTTTCCAATGAGCTTCACCCTATTGATAAAGCTAATGAATAGAATAATTTCATTTATGTGGTACATTTAACACCGTAGCTAACATTACGAAAGTAGGTTTGCCATTGTCGTTCGATTAGTAGATGGATTCCTTTGCTTTTTGTTTATCTTCTCAATTAAATGGGGGGAAAAAAAGGAGAGAGAGAGAGATCCAATTCAAAGTGTATATCGTTCATCAATAAAGTGAAATGAATTTGAAACAAGTAAATTCTCATCTCATATAATCAATGTTTTGATTTATGTGAAACATTCTTGAATACGAATTAGCAGTTAGTTTAGAAAAACAAAATCATTGTTTATAGTTTAACATTCCTCGTAATATATTAAATGAATTTTGGTAAAATACGGTGCAACAGGATTAGCAAGGATGGTGGATCCCAAGCTCTAACTCAAACTCTTAAATCAGTCCAGTTTTTCCCTTTAATTATCGTACCAACCCATTAAATGGTAACTGGTCCGAACCATTTAACCGTAGCTAATCTTCATCTAACCTAAATTAAGATATACACCCACCAAGGTCCTTCATATCAAGAAAAAATAAAGTAGTCAAAGCTTTTTTTTAGGTTTTATAACCATGGCTTAATTATTTCACTACTGGTCGACTTTTTGAAAAAAAAAAATATTAAAGAGTATGGGTTGGCAGATTGAAGGCGGATGCGCCGTTGCTCGATTGTCCTAATTTGTTTTGTAAGACTTTAATTTAATTTAAGTAGTGAATAGTGAAAGTGTTTTGGCGTTTTTCATTTTTTATTATTGAAAACCGCACCTATGTTACCATTCAACACCTTCTCAAAAATATGTGTTTTTTTAAAAAAAAAAAAAAAAAAAAGTAAACTGCAGATTTCAAAAAAAGATAAAAAGGCATGGACCGCATTTCAAAGTGAAGTCAGGTCCTTACCCTGCGGTCCAACCGAAAAACGCAGTGGACAATAGCCACTTATTTACTTTTGATTTTTTTAATGTTATAAATCATTATGTACATATATATTTTTTACCATATATATATCCATTCTCACACTCTTTTCCCTCACACTCTTTTTCACAAAAAATTTTCTCGTAATCAGATACATCTCTTCTCTCTTAGATAATAGATTCTCATACTTGGTAAGAAAAGTTAAAAAAAAAACAAACTTTCTATATTATTCTCTCTTTATATTTACTTTAGCTATATTCTACTAAGTGTTTTTCATTCATCTTTTACAGGTTGGTTCATCGAATTTTAACGATCCAAGGTTAAATATTTTTTCAGAATTTGTTTCATAATCACATTTTCAATGTTATCATAATTATACTCAATAAGTTCTTTCAGCAAAACTAACTTACTTAAAAAAATTTATGACAAAATTTTATAGATTCCATAAAATTGTAAGTAAACTTACGTATAGGATTTTATTGTACTAATTACTTATTTATAAGATTAATTTAATTCTGCTCAAAACTTTTATTTTAACAATAACTGATTTACAAATATTACAATAAATTAGTTTACTTATTTTCATAATATAGTTACATACGTTGAATTGTTTTTTATTTATTTATACAATATTACTATAATACATATATATATATATATAACATGTATATACAAACATATACTCCCTCCGTTTCAAAATATAAGGCGTTTTAGCTAAAAGCATGTCGATTAAGAAGATCTACTTTTTAAAAGTTCAGCCAATCATAAAAAAGACTGCATAATAAAAATAATCATAAAATATTAAAGTAATATATAATTTGCATAGAAACTTAAAAACGACTTATATTTTGAAACAAAAGAGTTTCTCCAAAACGCCTTATATTTAGAAACGGAGGGAGTAACATTTATTAATATCACTGTTTTTATTTGAATAATGTTTCAATATTTACAAACATATTATGTTTTTTTTTTGACAACTTTGGATCGACAAAGCCCGATCCATAGCCAATTCCTACTACGCGGAGTAACGCGACTTAGTGGAGTCGAACTCCGGTGGGGAAGGCGGAGTCAAATGGACTTAACCACTTGACTAAAGGCACATCCCCACAAACATATTATGTTTACTAAACATAAATATCCATAAACTAATTGAGTTTATATATCAAAAAATTTCTTTTAAAAATAAAAGAAAATAGTTAATAGATTATCAAAATATTTTTTTAAAAACTATAAAATAATTGTTGGATTTAATGATTGTAGATATGTCATCTAATCGTCGACGGAACACAAATCCTTCCACAAGAACAGGTTCAACTCATCCCAACGAAACATCAACTCCTCCTACAGAAACAACCGCAATTAGTTTTTTCACCAATCAAATATTATTTCGTACCGCTTATTTTGTACAAACCGCACTTGTCCCGTAAATATTTTTCTCTCGCACGTACCGCAGTTGAACCGTACCGCACTATAATACCGCTTTTCCCGCACAACAAAAAACGCTGTTACCATTCGGACCCTAGTTTCGATTAAAAAAAAATAAATAAGTCGGTAAAAGGAACGCATACTGTATTTATTGTATTTCTCTGGAAATTAAATTTTGGTGGGGAAAAGGATCGTCAGTCAGTAAGAGCCACGTTGAACACAATCACACATGAAGAAAGAAACTACCTTAGCTCCATGTTGTCTGGTTTTCACGCTAAGTAGAACCTATGCAATTCCCGTTTGAGATTCGAGATCATTTTTTTTTCGAGATACTCACTACTTTTTTTTTCTATGAGAAAACGATTACATAGCCACGAACTTTGTGCTTAATTACCAAATCGTTACACCTTCACACAAGAGCTTCCGATATTATTAACCAATATAGCATACAATGTTGTACTTCAGCAAACATGTTGACACAACTGTCTGCTAGACTTTTCTAATGGCTCTCAATTGCATCAATACTCTATTGGGTTTTGCATTAGTACTCTATTGGGCCCTTGACTCATATCAATCAGGCTGCGTGCTACTTGCAATGGTCGCTGAGCCTCTTTTTGGGGAAATTTATGGGGTTCAACCTAAGTCCAATAGGTTGTTTACTACTATTGTTAGAAGATCAATATATCGGCCGAAGGCCGTCAACATATATGAGAAAATACTATTGAATTGCCTATATATAAAAATATATTTGTTGCAGAGATTTCGATACAAAAGGTTTGGTATCAGAATTGTTATAGGAAACATTGAGTTTTGTTATGAAGCAATTTGGAGTTTCAATCGGGAAATGCTACCCACACAAAAATTCACGTTAAAGTGAGATCGAATTCATAGTAGTAAAATAACGGATTTAATAATTTGTTAGCAAATAGAGCTTCATTAGATAGATGCACTTTTATTGCATGTAGTCTTCAATAAATAACAAATATTTAGCTTATGTAATAATTTGTATTCCGAAAACTTTACATAACGATTTTGTATTCCTAACTTGTAGCAATATCGAAGGAATACTACTATTTGGACCAAGATTGCAGTAATGAATAGTTTTGTCGTAGAATACCAACCAACTTTATCAGTGCTCAATAATATCAGCATTAAATTGAGTAAGCCTACTAGTTGTACTTTTTAGATTTTTCACATAAATTACGAACGTATCTTACCCTTTTAATGATTACAGTT